GAATTATTCAGAAAAAGGGAAAATACATACACTTACACATTCATTTACTATAAAAAAAAAAAAAAGTTTGTTGGAAAAAAGGATGATGCAATTGATTTGATTAAACATGTGTTGAGTGTATAGTCAAGTGAAAGCAGAACTTTTTTCTCTATGCTCTGTAAGTGGTTACTAATATTGTTATTATTAGGTTACAAAAACGGAACCACTGACCTTCCAGTTAGTGGGTGAAGTTCCAACTAAATGCTAGTTACACAACAACAAAACCATGTTGCTATAAATTTTACTATTACTACTTTTTTAAAGATTTTTGCAATAGCAGAAGTTGCATAATTGTCAGAAAGAATATATTTTTATGAGTGCACTTGTAGCTTTTATGAGAGGGTTTGTTACCTTTGCCTGAAATGTTTCTCAGTATGGCATTAAACTTACATATTTATTAATTTTATAGTTTTTTAGTAACTTAATCTTGTAGCTTCATCCACATATCACCATTCAAATAGGTTTAAAGTCATACTGAGGAACATTCCTAGCCAGGCTGGCACCACCTAGTGCCTCCGCTCAATTTAATTTCTCTCCAGTGACTAGGGCAGGAATCAGAATACACTAGACGGTTTGCAAAAACCTTGGAAATGCAAGTTCGGGCACCAGCCGATCAGCGAAGAGCCATGCATTCTGTGTTGTCAACGATTCCCGAGATCGAGGATTTAAAGCCGAAACAAAGAGAATATTTGGTGAATTTTATCAAGGGGAAAGACTTTATTGTCCTTCTTCCTACGGGATTTGGGAAAAGCTTAATATACCAGTTAACCCGGTTAGTGGCACATTACATATACATCATGACCAAATAGCAGATATTGGTTAAATAAAAAAAGTACCCACCTACCGTCGAGAGAACAAATTCTAGCACTGCGAGGAGGTCAGACGGTTTCTACGAAGTGAAACCAGCTGATGAATCAGGCTAGAACATTCCACGTAAGCAACAACATAAGTCTCTATGGAAAAAACAGCAGGTGAATGGAACCTTCTTCAGAAAAGTTACATATTGCACCTTTAAATTTGCACTGACAGAAACAAGTCCAGTTGGCTCCTAGTGTCCAGCCTCTTTCCCTCTCTGCACACGCTCCAAAAGTCACAGGCCTGTCACCATAATTACTATATCGACTCATTCAGTATATGAAAGATGGAAATATTCTTTTTGGGATCAGTATTTTTCTTTTCACTACAAGATTTAAGCCATAAAAGGTTGAATACATAACCTCTAAGACTCACTATAGATGCAAACTAAACCTTAAAGTGTTTATTTTATTTATTTATTGCAGCTCAGAATGTTTTCAACAATATTTTACATTTAGGATAGGATCTGATACTGGTCTTAGATATCGGAACCAATATTGAACAATTTGATGGCTCAGATATCAGCTTCCAAATATTGGTTCACCAGATATCCTGGCTGGACATAAAAATAAAAATTGATTTTTTACTGGTCATACTCAACCCAGAAAGTCTTAGAATGTTTGAACTTTTATTTACACAAAGTTATTCTGTAGTTATTTGAGATTTATAACAGTTACATAAAACTTGCTCTGGTATCGGTTGATATCGGTTATCGGCAGAAACTATAAAAAATTGAAATTGGTATCAGAACAGAAAAAATCTTGATCAGTGCATCCCTAACGATATTCAAGTCTCACGACACGACTGGGAAAGCTCACGATTACGAATGTAACTATATCCAAATCTCTCGGTAAGATATTTTCATGATATACATCTCACGGTACGATACTTTTGCGATATTTGGCGGAGCTAAAATTGTGGATATACTACTTTTTCCTCTTAAAATGCCATGACAAGACTTAATCCAAAGAACTAAGACTTAAAAGTGCTTAGAATTGTTATTTCTTCTTGTAGTCTACACTGAAATGGAGCCAAGGATCATGGTCTATGTAGTTCCCTCTGTTTTTTTTTTTAGCTATTGCTGCATCATAACTCTTAATTTAAGCAAAGAGACTTGTAATTTGATATATTGTGATGGTCCCCAATATTACTGTGAGAACTTTGACGATACAATATCACGATATTTCGGTTATTGTTACATCCCTAGTGACACATCTTCCCTAGAGTTATTGTATCAGTGTTTCCAATATGATTTTTTATCACGTATATTTACTTCATACTTCAAAATGTGTTACTGTGACAGGCCCTGCTTCGTTTTTGTAGTTGTGTACGTGTGATACTTGTGATGGTGTAGTGCAGAGGTGTTCTGAATGTGTACATTAAAGCGTGTTGGGGTCTGGGGCCTCTGTGATTTATGGTCTTCTTGTGCCCGCTGTGGAAAACAAACAGTCTCAGTTTTTGGCCCGGTTCAGAGGAAGTTTGTAGAGCAGATGACGTGAAACCAGCACAGTGCCCCCTTCTCATGGCTTCAAGGTTCAGCACAAGTTCTCCCCCGCTAAAAAAATCACTTAAAATGCAAGAAAAAAAAGCATCTTGGAAACTACTGCGTTCTTCACTCAGCAAAAATGTTCCAGAAATTTCCGATCGGACTGGTTTGAGTTTGTGCGATCCATCCAAACTGCCCGATTTGCTCTGAGTTTTTAGCACTTGAAGCTTTTGAGAGGTTTGCAGTGTTGCCAGAGAGTGTAATACTGAAGGATGTTTTTCTTTCTCTCTTTTTGACACCTCCTTCCTGCTCATGTCTTCTAGTCATTTTCCAGCCTCATTAATTTTAATAACTTATTTATTTATTTGACCTTTTCAACCAGGACAAAACCCCACTAAGCTATAACTGCTTAACATGCATTTCACTAAAACACAGTTAACGTGATTCTATTTGAGAATTTACCACAAAATCTCGCTTAGTTGTTTGCAGTTGTCTAATCTTTGTTTTTAGTTGATCATTTTATTTCCCGTTTCCCGGTTGGACACTGGTGACAGATTAGGAAAGGAATTCCACAACTGTTATCTAGCAACAGTAAGATTATCAAGGCCGAAAACTTATCTAAATTGCATATAGTTTTGATTAGACTAACTGACTAGACTTTTGTTAGATTAAGGTTTAATTCAGACATGTCCAAACTACAGGCCACTGTGGTCCCGAGAACAATTTTTTTTGTGGTCCTCAGGGTTTCATGTGAATTCGCCCAAATTATCTTAAGCAGTAGCCTACTTTTTACTGCAAATCTTTTGACTCTAAGGTCCGCTGTCTCATTCTAATTTGCTAAAAATGCAGCACATATTTGATTTATTCACTGTATTGAGCACCAGTATTTGGCCCTCTGATTGGCTGATCTGGTTTAAACTGTCAGAAAAATGCCTTGCTCGTGCATAAATTGTGTCTGTCTCAGCGCTACTTCCTGTAATTTGGTACTTTTCTTCTCAACTTTTCTCACTGCCATTACGGAGTAAGATGACGTATTAGTGAGAATGAAACAAAATACAACTCCAGGTATGTTTTTGAGGTGGTAACATTAAAACATGGATTAAAGCCCAAATCAGTTTTGCGCAATATAGGATCTTTAAGTTTATTAGAGCCATAGGCAGTACAGTACAGTTTAACAAATTTACTTTAGCCTTAAAATGATATATTTAATCATATATTTTATAAAGAAACTGAATTAACATATTCTTTGTTTCATTGCATGATCCTTCCTTACGTATTATATCCCTACTATAGCTGATTCAAGGAGTTTTGCATACAATAGCTGTACCGTTTTCTACAACATCTCTGACACACATTAAGCTTGTTCATATTACAACACAATATGCCAACAATCACTATGGAAACAATAAGTAGGGTCAATAATTGGCTTCCTCCAGTTTCACAGTGTTTCCAAATAACTGATAAACAGCTACAAATGTAATTAACCCTGACATCTATCACGTTATCCAGTGTTTTGTGTTATAAAAAGTGCACACTGCATTGAAACACGGCCCAAAGCCTGTCTATATTATTTAGACAGAGTGGGCTGTTGATAGTATTTGAAGCACTCTTTAATCTATCAGTTATAAAGGACACACCTCGGTCAAATTGTATGGTGCACCCTGGAGGCTCATTGGACTGGGGTGTGTCCTCTCCTGTAAATTCCAGGTTAGATGAGGGGGATATAACTGTCCCCTTCAGCCAGGAACTACAAATTACATTGTAGTTGATATGGGCAGACAACACAGCATTAAAATGTGAGACATCAAACAGAGCTGATAATGGGGTGGAAGTTGATGTCTATTATTCAAATGAGTCAACAGGAAAAGAACACATGGTCAGATGGTGTTGGTAAGCTGGCCTCTTTCAGTGGACCCTGCAAGAAACTGGCAGTGGGTCTTCCTTCCACTGCAAGCAAAATCTGTCCAAATATGAATGTGGTTGATAGCCTGCAGCCGACTAAAACACGCACATCTGCTGAATCAGGCTCCCTAAAGGAACTAAATAAAACATGTTACCTGTCCTATAAACATTGGGGAATAATTCAAACCATGCCCCACAAATATAATTACAGTAACCAGTAAAGTTTGTTTGTTTTGTAAAAATGGAAAAAGAAGAAATAAGTGATCACAAATTCTTTTACAGTTATGATTTTTTTTTTTTTTTTGTATAAGTAAAGCTATAAATACACAGACAGGAGAAGTCTGAAATCTGCTTCAGTGTGAGTTAATGAGCTGTGAGATCAGAAAAGTTGCTGCAGGTGTCATAACATCCACAGATAAGTGATATATATAACATGAGTACTTTCATAAAATAAAATTATTAGGCTGGTGGTTACCGCTAAAACTAAAATATGTTATAATAATATTATGCAAATCAGAAATCTACATATTTAACTCTTACAATGTTTTACATCGATTAGTGCACAATTAAATCATATTAATACAAAAACAAATGTGTGTGATATAGGCAATGCTGCCCCCTTGTGTTTAAGTCCAAGGCTAACTTATTCACTCAAATGAGTGTTCAATTCACATATTAAACAGTCTCTAAAAAAATATACATAGGACAGGGCACAAAATGTAGTACATAACTTTATTGTAAACATTGGATGCACTGAAATATGATGATTTTCAAAAAGCTTATGTGGAAATGACATGGGTGGACATTATTGCATCTTTTAGGGGAATAAGGCCATACTAAGGTTAAATCTAAGATAAATATATACATTTTATCTTTTAGCAAAGTATGAGCACACAAAATAAAATATGCATAAGTAGGATATTGCTTTGACAATACTGTAATGTAAAGCATGCATCTGTAACACCTGTAAACCTGTAACATCTTTGCATTGGTTTAGACTTGAGAAATAAAGTGACCTAAACATGAACAGGAGCTTATGAAAAGCAGACTTTAAGATTTCTGAAAGTTTTATCTGGTCAGTGAAGTATCAGAAGGTGTTGCAGTGCAGTTTAATTACCCACATACAGAGTAATTTCCATTAAAAAACCCATATGCTTTGAGCAATATGTGCCAATTTGGAGATTTGTGTACCATACGGGCAGTACTAAATAAACTTGTACTTGATACTGTACATTTACAGTAATGACAAATTACTGAGGGCACTAGAGAAAGTCAGTCCACATAACTCATCTGATGAGTTTCACTTAACCATGAAATATCTTAAATATTCTGAACCCACCTCACCCACAACAGTTCAGTTTTTTATAAATAAATATATATTTGTCTTTAATTACAAACTTTTTAAGATTAACACTATAAGCTACTTTAATACAAAATTAAATGTGCTCAGTTTCTTTCCCGTGTTATATATACATTTGAGGAAATGTAATGAATGAAATATTATTATGCAAATTAGAAAATACATTTGGAATGAAGGAAGTAACTATAAAATATTTGTATTTCTAAATGAATATATTTAAGAGTCACTGTTATTGTACATGAATGAGTCTAGCTGGTACCAGGAGGAGGGTGGAGGATCACCGCAGTCTGAGGAGGATTCTATACATGGCGAAGCCCAGAACAGCAAATACTGTGGCCCCAGCACTCGCTCTGAGCCAGAAGGTGGAGCTCTTCAGGTCAGCTTGGCTAACATGTCTGTGGGAAAGCATAAGAAATACTCATTTATAACAAAAACCTTAATTAATGTAAAACATGTTTGCATTAGTTAGATGTTGTATCCTTGTGAATGAACAAAATATTGCACATGATAATTTTGTCAATCTACAGATGCTTTTTAAAAATATCCTTCTGTATCAGGGAGTTCTTTGTTTCTACTCCATTTACTGCGATTGTTCATTGTTCTCATTGTTTATCATTATTCATACTGTCAAAACAAGCTCCAAGTTTGTGAATTTTGTGCACTGACAACGGCAATAAAACTCATTCTGATTCTGATCTACCATGAAAACTCAAATACTTTGCATTGTTTTGTTTCCATACATCACCATAAAGCCTGGCTCTGGTTTTGAAATTGCATCATAAACAGAGAAAACCCCCGTGGAATCAATCCATGGATAATTGCTTTCACATTCTTGTGGATGCTATAGGCCTTGGAGGTGCATATTTTGAAAACAACAATAAGTCATAAAACATTTTTTAGGATGTCTTTCTCTGATAGCGGCACAGAAAAGATTATCAATTACACACACACGGTACACAGAGAAATAAATGTTAGAGGATGAGAAATGTAACACCACAAAAACTCATTAAAAACAGTAAAGAAGTTGTAAGAGGACCTTCTCAGTACCACAGCGTAGAGTTTGGCCCTGATGGTCTGCAGCAGCTCAGAGTTGAGGAAATTCTGACACAAGCAGAAGGTACAGCGGTTACAAGTACACATGCAGCGCAGCCGGGCGTGACTGAGGAGGAGCAGAAAGAAGAAGAGGCCCAACATTCAAACGCACAACCAAACACACACACCGGAAACAAGGAGGAGGTTAGAGACAAGCCATCACCATGTTAGAAATCAAAAGAGCTTCATCATTTGAAAGCCCAGATGCACAAACCGATCAAACATGTCACTTTTGGACTATTATGAGCACATTTACATTACAAATAATTACCATTAAGGGATATTTAGCAGGACTTTTAGCAATGATGAAAAATAACTAGACACTTAAAATATCCTCGCTCAGTAAATTTCTGAAGATTCTAAAGTAGAAGTAGTTAATTTATGCAACTTTTAAGACATCCAAGAATAAGACATTATAAACGAGTTAAAAAGAAAACAACGGGACTTACTAAGCTTTTTGAAATCACCGTTTCACTATCACTATTTCTTCAGGGCTTCTTGTGTAGGTGACTGCTACTCCCACCAGATGCAGATGTGGGTGGTGATGTCTAAGTAAGTCCAGTTGCTTTCATTTTAACTCGCTTATAAGTAGAAGTAATATTTTATTTCAGTGGTCAGGCAAATGCTATTAAAATCATGTTATTGGGAGCCTTTTCTACCTTTATAGACAATACAATGGTGTTGAATACTTACGGGTACATGGCCATAGTGGCAAGTTTAGTGTATATGTCTCTGCTCGGGGCGGTTGAGGTGTTACAGGTGAAGGACTGAGGAGGAGGCATCTTGTGTCTCCTACAAAACTCCAGAGGACTGCAGCCGTACATCTGTTTCACTTCAGGAAGATCTGACTTAGCAGCTACCATCATACAGGGGATCTTACTGTCCATAAAGTAATGCTGAAAATAAAACAAAAAACCTTTGAATGAGATTAAAGGTTAGAGGTTAGTTAATATTGTCAGCAAAAGTGACATGTTACCTTAAATACTTTGGCACAGTATTCAAAGGAGTAAGGATTACTGATATCATAGATCAGGCAGACTATGTCACAGGCCAAATCCGCATCAGTCAGGTAGTCAAAGTCAGGAAACACTTCATGAAGCTAAAAAATAAAATAAATAAGAGTAATTAATCTCAATTTCTCCACAAAGGTTCATGATTACCTCTGAATCACTTATACTCAATCATTTGTTTTACATTGAAAGTAAAAGCAAAAAAATAATACTCCCAACGAAATACTCACAAGAAGGTATTTCTCCTGCCCATAAACATAAGTTGTGCTGATGGCATAGTATGATCTGTGTTCCTCCCGGATGGTCTTTTGGCGCTGAAATTGAAAAATATATAAACATACATTATTGAGTGTCAGCTTTACCTTGTGACTTGAATAAATTTGCACAAACAGCCTTGTTCTATAATGCAATAAATGAGCTGGAAAATCTCCCAACTGAACTAAAAAGCCAAACTATGCAAAACTTTCTGTGGATCTTAAAAAGTGGTTGGGGAAAAACCAAACCTGCAGCACTGATAACAAGTGCGTAATACCACACAAAGCGAAATAGGTGTATTTTTGTAAGATGTCGACTGATCTAATAGTGAAATGTAGAAATGGTAGGTTAATATGTATTTTATAAAGTGAAACTCTTAATTTTGTAAATACCTAATGCTTTCTTGAGGTTTGAAGTTGTATTGAACATGTGTGACATTGTGTGTGTGTGTATGCATGTGCGTATTTGCATTGTATAATTTATTACTGTAACTCAGGGACTCAAGATGGAAACCGGCTATTTAGGTCTGGTGCAAAACATCTGTTTTTATGAGTTTAAAAGTGCATTGTGTAACTTTTCTGGATGGGGTCCTGTAATGTAACGAGTCCATTACGCAACATCTCCATGAAGATGTTAATGCTTTGGTTTAAATGGTCCACAGCATGGCATTAAAATAGTCTGTCTACACTAAGGTGTTATTTATTGATCAAAAATATCTGAAAAAAACATGTATTCTTACTGTGAGTGGAGTCGCCTCTCCACAAATCTAACCTGCAATTTGGCTTGCAAGTTTCCATGACGATTCATGAAGTTATGGTCATACTGAGGAACATTCTAGGCATATCTCCAAGCAGGTGACAGTTACACAGTGCACCTTTAATGTCTGTGTACACTGTCCCTTCAAATAGAGACTGAACTTAACTAAACTAACTTTATGCGACATTAACATTAGTTCTATTTCGTGCAAGTAAGACTGATTTATAGAGTTATCTTGTTATTGATAACTGTATAAATTAGTCCACTGTTATTGAAAGAATCTGTATTTGAGGTTCATCTGTACAATGTCATCATTTTTTTAAATTTCCTATATTACACAAAATTGATTCTTATGAGCTTCAAGCTATATTACAATGTTGTTACCTCATCACAAACATACCTGGAGTTAGGATGTTTTGTTTCTTTCACACATGTCTGAGTAATCCTTTATTATTAGTCTGTCAACATCTCCAATGCTCAGAATGCTCTGTTCCACTGCAATGTCATGAAGTGGTAGTTTACTGCTATCTTTTACCTTTTGTTCAGCAGAGATTAGCAATTCCAAGTCTGAATTTATACAAATGATTCTAGTGAAGATGCACAGAGTTTAATAACACAGTGGTGCACTTTCTGTATAATCACCTGACATCACAAGGTGGAACAGAGTGTTTTAAGAGAGTATTCAGTGTGAGAGACAAACTAGGCTTAAATATGCAGGGTTTGTGTGTTAAACATGTGAGAATGAAATGAAACATAACTCCAAGTATGCTTTTGATGAGAAAACAACATTAGATCAGAAAATAGCATCATATGGGCACTTGAAATGTTGTATTTTGTTCATATTTGGCAAAAGATTACCATAAGATTCCTGCCCAGAAAAGCCTGTAGAAAACCACTCTTCCCACTGCCGATGTCTCCGAACACATTGCAACGGAAAACATTGCGCTGGGTTTGTTTCTTCTGTAGGTCAATCTTCTTAGCCCTGGTCACTGCAGGGGGCACAGCACACAGCCAAAGCAGGATCAGTTCACCCACACTAGAGATAAATCCACCCTCTTCAACTATTTACAATCACCATGCAGTTAGATAAGATAAATATTATTATTAGAACTTCATCATAAATAACCTGCAAAAGATTTCTTATTCTTGACAGATATATGACATGAGAGTTAATAATTACCAGTTATTCCTGAAGCTTGGGACTCTTGCTCAGCTATTATTGAATAACCAAGGTAACCCAGATACTCCAGACATCGTTGCACATCTAGATACGTTGTCAACCTAAGAAAGCAAAAACACAAAACAAACTAAATCTCAAAATTATTGTAATAAGATAATTCAGATTAGATTTATTTTAATATTATGACTTTATGTTGGCTTTAATTCATTATTTTCAGAGAGCAGATTTTTGACACATCCAGAATCCATGAATTGCAAATGCACTTAATGTTTGTTGCCATAAAAATTACAGTTTTAACAGGTTTTATAAGCAATATGAGATATTATGTAATTTGGAAATGAGTTATTTAAAGCCACAATAATTAACTATGAGCGATAAAATCAAATCAAATGTTTTGTTTTCCTTTCATTTTGCTTGTTTATTAGACTGAAAAACAGAATAAAAACATGCTATGCATGAGCGGGCTTGCATCTCCACAAACTTGATTCTTATTAGCTTGGAGGAGAGTTTCCTTCTGCTTGTTTGCAAACTATTGTTTTAACTTTCTATTTCAGTGAAAATATGCACGTGACATGCCACCTCCAGAAACATAACCTGAAATATTTAAAGTCTTTACATGACGTAATTGCGAGAAATTAAGCTTTTGATGTTCCTTACGTCCACTGTGAGAGGAACCCCTGGTACGTGACCCATCCATGTTCATTGGTGCACACTGTGTTGTTGACGTCGGGACCCCAGGGCATGTATGGGAAAACATCAAACACGTCACTCAGCTCGTCTGGTGACAGGGCACAGTCTCGATCCTGACAGAGGCAGGTAGAGTCAGTGCTACTAAACAAACACATTTGGCACTTCCTCAACTTGACCTTTGAACCCTGCCTCTAATTATCCTGTCAATCCGTTCTCAGTGGTCAAAAGTTAAATTGTTTCCCAGCGGGTGGTCAAAGTTGTAGTGTATTTTAGTAGATCCGTGCACAGTAGGGATACAACAACATCTAGATCACACATTAAGATACCTACTGTGATGTGGTGTGAAAATAAAACTTTGTAGTCATGTTACTTATTCCTCTGAAAATGCCCTGACAAATCTTTGTTACCATCATTACTATCTACACCAAATACGATAGAAAAATACTATACTGTTATTTCTCCATGTTATCGGCACAGAAATAAAGCAAAGAATTATGGTCTATGTAGTTCCTTGTGTGTTTTTAGCTGTTCTTGCTATAAAACAATGCATTTAGGCCAAGGAGCTTGTAATTCAATATGTTGTGAAACTTTTGACAACACATCACAGTATTTCAGTTAATGTTACAGTCACACTAAACTTAAGTGCTGTGCAAAGTTAAAAGTTAATGTAAACAGTAATACCACACTAAACCTTTGGGATCTCACCTTGTCATGTTTGTCAAACACGCTCTGGAGGAAGAGGTAGGCATTATGGTTGAGCTCAGTGGTGCAGTCAGGAGGGACTTTCAACCTAAAAAACAACCCTTTATTAAAGTTAAACAAAAACAGTGGCTACAGATTCAGCTTTTGAGACACCAACAGAGGAAAGAGATAGTCCTGATTGAGCTCAAGATCATCGTCGTAACCAAATCTCCGCAGGACTGTCCATGTGGTCTCATGTCGACCTCTTTGAATGAATAAAGTGTGAAGAAACAAAAAACCTAAACAGAAAAAAATGTATTTGAACACACTGGCAACTGTTTGAATAGATTATTACAATCTGTCTGTTGTTACCTTTCAGAGTGAGTCCATTGTCACGGACGCCATCATTTAAATTCTTTTTCACCACATTTTTCACATCGTCTAGTGCCTGGGGCTCTAAGGGGGTGTTGAAACAAGTCCGCTATATAAAAAAGGAAATGTTAAAAAGACATATAGTCGTGTTTTAACCATTAATGAAGCCAAACTCATTTACCTGGAAAAAGTTGAGCTCATTATCATTCAGTATCCCATCATTATCCAGATCAGACACTTTGAAGATACGAGTCAGTGCTTTAACACACATGGATCTCATCTATTACAAAACAAGGAGCCACAGATTAATACTCCGCAGATTCAAAATACATCACATATTAGGATTAGCATAAAAGCTTTTTCTTTGGGCTGTGTGTCAATATCTTACACATTTTTTCTCAGGACAGTAGAGAGGGCCAGTAGGGTGCAGCACCGCCTTCTGGGCGTAGTAGAACAACTCAGAAATGTTCTTCAGGCTTTTGGCCGAACACTTTAAAAATAAGTTTATTAAAATTAATATTTACAAATAAAATGGAAAGCTTAACACTCATATAATGCATCCAAGAGCAAATGTACATGCGGTTTATAATGATTAAAGAGGCCATATTACACAATTTTCTGATCTATGTGATAATGTTTCTTAATTAAAATATACCTGGAGTTGTTCTTTGTTTCATTCACACATGTTTAAACACACAAACTCTGCATATTTAGACTGAGTTCAGAAATCACTCTGGTCCACCTTGTGATGTCATGTGGTAATATGGTGCTCCACTGTGTTTTAAACTCTTTGGATTATTTCAGCCCTGGAATTGCCCAGCTGTACTGAACTAAAACAACTACATGATATCACAAGGTGAAACACAACATTTTGAGTTTTGGAGATGTAGAATGAGACTCATAAGAAAGGATTATTCAAACATGTGTGAATGAAACAAAACACACCTCCAGGTATGTTTTTGAAGAGGTAACAGCATTACACCATGGCCTAAACCCAAGAGTCAATTTATTGTAATAGAGGACCTTAAATACACAATTTACACACATTTTGTCACAAAATGAATTGTCAATGTTAATAGTCTACTGTTTAAGAAGTATTTTGAGAAGCATCCTAAGTAGGTTGTATTGACCTGGCTAAAAGTAAAAGGTTCATTAAACGTATCCCGCAGAGATAATGCCACTCCTCTGAGACATAAGATCCACCAGACAAAGGATTAACGCTCTGATCTGTCTGAGAGACACACCTGTGCCAATTAACATTTAACTCGCCTTAAAAACACAGGAGCACACATCAGCGAGGTGTGAGGACTAAAAGGTGTCCCAAGATCAGGTCAAACCGTAGGGAGGTCAGATTAAGGAGAAAGTGAGCAGCAAAATACAGTATGGCACTAGTTCTAATGTGTTATGTAATTTGCTGTCCTATATAAGGGGGGAGAAAAGGTACACACAGGTGTTGTAGTGTGGAGGTATACAGTCTTTTGACTGTTGTCTATGGAGTACCTAATCTGTGTATTTTGGATGGCTTTGAGGTATGGCAATAAACAATCGAGGAACACGCGTCCGAGACACCACACACGCTACAGTCATAGCGGACCTTGCACACAAGTTTGGCCACTACACAGTGTCTTTGTATGTAGTGTGCACCAGTGCTAGTTACAGTAGAATTACATTTACAACATTAATCTTACCTCCACACATGTCTCAATTTCACTGTACTTGTTCATGATGGGCAGAATGGTCTCCATACTGCTGTGCTCCACCAGGTCAGACTTGTTCCCCACCAAAATCAAAGGAACCCTTCATATAGAAATGTTCAATTTACTTGGTTATCTAAACGTACACATCATATTAAAGTTTTTAACAGTGGTCATAGAAACAGGAAACCCACCTGCTGTCCTTGTCAGTGTTCTCTGTGATCAGGGGGATCCAGTGGCTCGTCACCTACAGTAACACATATTATTCATATTGTGTGTCCTTTCAGCACTTTAAACATTTCACTGCAAGCAGCAACTGACCTTCTCTATAGACTTCTTGTTGTTGACAGAATAAACAATGCAAATCACATTTGCCTGTGCAAGAAAGAACACGCATGAACTGATGCAGGGCACTTCCTGCTGTCAAACACTCAAACAAACACACACACTGACCTTAGCAATCTCCTGAAACAGCTGTTCATCTGTCTGCTCAGCCTCTGTGAAGAGGTTTAAAAAAAAAAAATTTAAAGCAACATTTAGAAAGATTTAAGAGTACATTTTACTGCAGTTTAAAAATGAGAGAGAAATGTCTCTCTTGAATGTACCAGAGTAGTCCACAATGTGAGTGGGCACACGCTCTGGCGTGACATCCGCAGGAATAGTAATCTCCTCTGCTCGATAAGGAACCTACAGGAAAAACAGCTACACTGTAGTTCAAGTGTGAAGACAACAACAAACAAATGATCACTAATTTTGAAAATGATCAATTTTTGAAGATAAAACACAGGAAAAACTCAACATTTGTCCTGCGAATCAATCAGTATCAGTGAATATCAATGAAGTTCAGGATACTGTATCTAAAGGACAGCACACAGATGTAAACTGTGGTCAATGAGATCCATTCTCACCACTTCTGGGAATTCCTCGCTGACAAGAGACATTATGAGAGAGGTCTTCCCCACCTTGGCTGTGAAGAAACAAAGACACACGAATTGGGTGGAGGATTATTATTGACTTAATCACAAAATAAAATCATGATCCAATTCATATTTTTGTTTGAGGCAGCAGTTAAATGTAAGCTAGAGTATGCTTCTCTTATCTCCCAGAGCACAAACACGTTGTGTAATGGACTGTTTGCTTGGAGCTTTAGGCCTAGTCTACAGTTGCAGAGCTTAAAACTACATAAATATGAACTTACGCTCTCCCACCAACAGAATCCTCACGTCCTTGCGCATCTTGTCCAACGTGGAAAACCAGCCAGGTGCACCGCTCTGTGGGCAACATCTAAGCCCCGCTCCGGATGACGGACAGCAGCACCAGCTCCACGGCCTGTGCGACCAACTACGGCTGCATTTTAGTGCCTGAATGACATTTTATCGCAAAACCGCGCAAGGCACAGATCCGAAAAATACCTGTCGACAGTTCACAGGACGCAGGGTGTCATTAAGATGCCTCAACACCAACGGAACAAGCGTGAGTTCACTTGATGTTCACGGTCTGTTCCGCTCACCTGCACAAGGACTTGACTGTTTACGAGGCTATGGTTTACGACATAGATCTATGGTTTACGGCAGCAGCAGGAGCACGTGGACACGCCCCTCACGTGGACCAAAGATTGTGTATTGGTAAAAGATAGCTCTTATTCAAATTACTCAACTTTTTATTTTTTTTTATTTCTTTTTTTTTTTTTTTCCTTTTTTAAATCACTATTGGCAAATATGATGGACTCATGGATAATGGATGGTAGCAACCATAGATCCAAGGCAGTAACCAATTAAATCAAGTCTGATGTTGTGGGTTGACTAATGTGTGTTATATAACTTTAGAAAAAACAATAAACCTACAGAAATGATAAATTGAATATATACCTGTTGGCATATATATGTTTTAGTGGTAGAATATGACTGGAGCACATGGGGGACACTGATCCAGATCACCTACAGGGTGAAAAACATACTTCACAATTGACCAGTCAGGGGAATTGAACCCAAGAACTTGTTGTTGTGAGACAAAAGTGTTAAGACTGCACCACTGGGCTTCTCTGTGATACAGCAAGATGGTATATTATATGGAAATGTGATTTTATGCCTCATATACTGCCAAGAGGTGGCCACAGGGACCATGAGACGAGTCCCCTCCCCTGCTTCATTCTCTCCTCTTTGGGGCCTGCCCAGGCTGACGGAAATGAGGCAGCCAATTCAACCGACCACCATCCGACCACACACCACATGGATGAATATTAGGCCAGATGAGTGTCTTGCCTAAGGACACAACAACAGTACAGCCACAACAGTTTAGCCAGTCACAGACTTTCAGACACACCAGTCGCCAAAACATTTTATTTGATTCATTTGAATAATTTGACATAATTAATAGAAACACAATAAATAATTAAAATGGACAAACACAAAAAATTAATGGATTTTAAATAAATACCAAACATATAACACTACAGGAGTCGTACAAAAAAAACAAAAAAAAAAACCCCAATAAACTCTGCTATATAATAGCAGCAGTTGTGTTACTCTTTTCAAGGTCATTACATCTATATTCAGTAAGGGTGTCCTGTTCTGGACCATTTACTTTGTAAACAACTTAGTTTCAGAGTAGGAGGTGGAAGTGTTCATTTCGCTCTTCTGAGGTTGGCTTCATCTAAATACAACAAATATAAAAAATATCAGATGGTATTATTTGAAATAACTTTGTTCTGGTGCCAAACTATATCTCACTTGCATAGTCCTCGGCGCTCATGGGCAGAGAAATAACTTTCCTGAAGGCGTTGATCCATTCGCGCTGGTCTTCCTCCTGCTCACACATAAACACAAACTGCCTCCCGGGAGTCTGCAGGCTGAGCCCACAGTGCCAGCGCCCGCCCCTCGTGCTGCGCCCACTGAGCTCTGACACAGTGTAACTGTGGTTCTCTGAGCCAATGAAGACTGCCCCCAGCTCTGTGGCATCCTGTTAGGACAAAAATGCTTTCTCATTTGGGATAAAATATATTAGTTACATGGATAAAAAAAAAAAAACTTACAAGAGGTGTTTTAAAATATAGAAGTTTTCGATTCATGGAGCACAAAGTGAACCACCTCCTCTTGAAGGGCTCACGTTGCTAAAAAAAGAAAACAGAATAAGCATGCATAATATATTTATTTATTGTTATTATTTGTTTTAATATTTTTGAGACCAACTAACCGTTGGCCCAGTTTTCTCCATGTATCCTTCCATTAGAGAGGGCCTTGTGAGCTGTGGTATTAACTGTGAAATGAATCAGAATGTGAAATATGCAGGTAAAATGGATTTACTTTTTATTCTTACTATTGTTTTTTTTTTTTTATACTATGAACCAGATATCTTGTGTTCTTAATAAAGATTGAATTGAATTGAATTGAATTTACTGTTAATTTGTCTTACATCATTAATTTGAAGCGTGGGATTTTTCTTTTGAAGGTATGCCAAGCGTGTTTTCCGAAGGGCATTGAAAAAAGAAACGATTAGCTGCAAAAAAATCATCAAAATATTACTTTTGAGAATAAACATACGCAATACAGTTATGCCTTTACTGTATAAAACTCTTATATATGTTATGAATGTAAGTGTGATTTTGCTCAAGTCACCTGTGCATTTTCATGGTAAAGAAAGAGATTTCTGGTTCTTTCACCATCATGCAGAAAAGAGATTTGAAGCCCATGAGCATGTCCTATCTTCTCTGGCTGAAAAACTGCATTTAGGTCCTTCATACTGATGATGTGTTTGGGTACTTTACACTTGACAACAGAAAAATGCTCAGTATATTTAGGTTATATTTAAATATATATATTTAAATTCACATTTATTTAATGGGGTAACTCTGAAACACTACCCACATCCTCTTTTACGAAGTATCGCAAGGTGAAGTCTTTCTGCGACAGAAGAAAGTTCCTCTTTAGGAACTGTTTGTTCTTTTTGCCCTTTTTCCATAGAATAATATCAAAAGGATCTAAAAAGGAAAATTACTAAATTGCATTTTAAACTATGGTTGTCTGTGGAGGTCTTTGGAATACTTACCTAACATATATGCTCGCTGATAGTCATTGTTTTCGCCAGTAAACTCTCTTCTCTCATATTTTGCTTGAATCCACTGGTCTTTAAGCACACTGTCCATAACACACAAAACATGTTACACAGGACTCCAGGAAGAATCGCTGACAGCTGATGAAGGCCAATTAAATGCAATGATATAAATTACAGCATGTAATTTCCTTTCCTATGTTCCTCTTACTGTTAGTTAACTCAGTTGTTATGGGATTTGGCCATGCGTAATATATTATGGTAATTATACTTATACTCACACGCAGTCTTTCTGTTCTGGTTGGTAATAAAAAAAAGGGATGCATTTTTCATAGAAAGCTTTTGCAATCAAATTCCCGCTTTTCTGCATAAACTGCAAAAACACAATAATTATTTCATTTATTCAGGCTAAATTTTCACATTACAAGTGGTGATTAATAACTCTTTTGTTAAAACTTTATTTTGCATATTTTAGAGTTAACAAAACATAAACAATCTCTAAAACTGTTGTGTTTGTTCTGTTTATGTATACAACCATCCAGGAAAAGTTTATATACATTATTTGTAATTAATAGTAATAGTAATAGTACTTCTAAACTTCTCCAAATTTGAATACCTCCACTAGTGAGTCATCCCAGAAATCCAGGCGCACAGATTTGACTCTGCTCACAGACGGGATATTACGGTGAAGCCCTGAACAGTTAAGACACACAAATATGCCCAAAGTATAGGACGCCCAGTCAGGTTCTGTGGATATAAAACATGGTAAAAATGGTTGCAACCGGTGGTTTTAGGGAACAGGTCAAATTATACTGAACTTCCTCTAACCCGTACCCAGCAGTTTTACCAGAAAACACAGCAGTGTTTAAAAAAAGATCATAGCAAACCACAAATTTTGAAAGTTGTGAATCATTGGATCATGTCATTGTAGTACTTGCCTGAAGATCCACAGTCAGCACAAACATTATTCCCAGGTAGTTGAATCAATTCAAGCAGGATTTTGTTATTTCTTTCCAAATTTGCCATGGGTAAAATATGAAAGCTCAAACAAAAGAGTTATTACTAGGTTCAAACTCCATTCTGACCCCACCTGCATGCACTCAGTATCACTGCAAAGTGACCAGGCTAACAATTTCCTCTTACCGGCATAGCATCATGAAGTTTATTGTTCAGAACACAAATGCAGAGGTCTAGAAATAACAGAGAAAGGAAGTGAAACAACAATGTCACCATTTTACACTGGAGAGAGACAGCTTTTGCAGCTTTTGTGATGAGTGTGCATTATAGTCTGTCCTAAAAAGAAAATTACATCTATTCAGAAATACTGCGCTAATTTATTAATTTCACCTGGCTAAAGTCAATTTATATATTACTAATTTAATGTACCTAATTATAATATGTGGGTGGGTGTACACTGTAGACTGTAGACGCGGTGCTCCTCCCCAACTCTAGGAACTATGTGAAACAGTATTGTTTTCTACCGGAGACAAAAATGTGTAGTACCGCGATTGAAGGGCAACAAACCTAAAACATGTTGGCGCTTATTTTGTTATTTTGTTAATATATTTTTTTTTATAATGTGGGTCGCCAGGCAGTTTCTAACATCTATAGTCCAAAGAGGTAGGCCTGTTATTATCACGTTAATATTAATGTTGCACTCGCCGTATCGCAGTGAAATTACGAAAGCCGGTTTGGCATGTTTATAGTTGACATGAAGACGCTACTAATTAATGCAAAGTTTAAGGTGACTAGATTTTCACATTCAAAAACTGGGACACCATCGGTTTGTGGTGGCTGGTAATAATAAAATTGTGAACCGAGTGCGTAATTAAGAAAAATTGTTATGCACTCGGCCCATTCATGACTAACATATGAGTTAGTGTGGCCACATTTTCTGTGTTTTGGTCATTTTGAAGCGGCTTTTCTGTATTTTACTCAAACACATTGACAATTTATGCCTGTCTTTACTGTTGGCAGGGATCAAATTGGTCAAAAATAGGGACACCTTGGAAATTTCTTGTATTAAACTGGGACAAATCAATGGTTTTGGATAAATCTGCTGGGACAAGGGACACAGGGTTTAAAACTGAATCTGGTCATCCTAACTATAAAAAATGCTAAGATATATTTAAAGGTATATGACTCTTTTTCTATACTGCCCCTTACAGCGCAGCCTGGTTTATTCCGAGGGACCCCACACTGCTCCCTGCCCAAGTTTGAGCTTCGTTATCTGCAGTGTACATGCTGCTGGAGGAGCCGTGTCCCTGTGGCCGGTTTTGAGACTTTAAACGCATCCATTGTCGGATCTGGTCCCTGTAAAGACGATGACAACAAGCCGCTGGACGCCTACTACACACCTGAGCAAAAAGAAGCTATCCTGAAACTTCTCAACAATGCATCGCTACCGGAGCTGTCTGGGGTCAAACTCCTCCGGGGTCGAAAATCTCTCAACATTGTAGATTACAGGACTAAAAATGGACCCTTTAAGACTCTGGAAAGCGTGGTGAATGTACCACTTCTCAAACACAAAAGTGCAGTAGTTGTGTTTAACTCTATTCTTAATCCTGTTAAAAAGGAGCGAAAGGTTAAAATTAATCTGGCCAAGTTTATCAGACCCGAAGTTGAGAGGTCCTGGCTGGAGGTAAAAAAAACAACAACAACAACTTCCATTTCATTTTGATGTGTAATAATATTTCACTGAAGATTCACAAGGGGTGGGACAAGATCTTGTGCAAAAAAATAGAGTTAACTACTGGTGAGCTATATTTCTTTTGTGAAGCTGTAGTCCCACAGAGCTGTCCTATAATGACAGCATAAATATTAAATAAAGTAAATCAAAAATGGTGAGCCCAAAATTATGAACTGGATTGAACAATATCAAAATCTCATCTTGTCTCATTCTCGAAGATCCAAATCTCGTGTCTTGTAGAAATTGTACCTGGTCCCACCCTTATGGTTCACTGTTTTTGCAGGATGCTGGTTCTATAGTTTCCATTGTATGTGGAACAAATAAAATAGCCTGGGCACATGTCGATCGAGGGATGACTCTCTTGGATTGGCAGCAGATGGAATGCCCCAACTTTCTCAAAGGAACTTACATGGCTTCTTTCTACCTCACTGATGTACGACTATAAACGTAAACTAACTCAGTCAATGTAGTTTCTTGTTTGTGGTTTTGATTGTCATTTTTGATCACAGGTTTCTACAGTTGTGGAAAATCTTCCTGAAGCGGACTTCTACATCATTGAGAAATCTTCCATCTCTGTTCAGAATACAGCTTTGTTCCCTATAATGGCTCATATGAGAACAGTGGAGGCCATGCTTTTTGCTTTGCTGGAGCCCCGAGTCCCTCAACCCGAACCAAACATCCCTCCAAGGTAACTATCATTATTATTCAGTGTTTAGTATACATTTAATTCGGACAATGGTGGTCCCAGATGTAAATACATTGTCTATATTTCATGTTCAAGTCTTAATTTGAACAGTATTGTTATGTTTTATATTTTTGTGCAAAAGGAAGAGATCCACACTGTAGTTCTTTAAAGCTCCCGAATTTTAATTTCAATGACACCATAATGTGACTGTTCGGGTCAAGCCCTTCTTCAGACATGCCCTTACCTCTTCTTTTTCTACATCTTCTTTCGAACTGTCACATTGTGGTGTCATTGAAATAAAAAGTTGGGAGTTTCAAAGAACTGCAGTGCAGATCTCTTTCATCTTTTTGGACAATTTTTGTCTTTGGGCCCAGCACGCAATCGCAATTTTTATTAGATGTGCATGTCTCTATCAACAGTTTTTTTTTTTTTATATTTTTAACACTATAAAGAGCAACAAACTGATTTTGCCATTAGGTGACTATAAGGGGCCACCATAATCTCCTCTAAATGGGAAACACTGCATTTATACTAACCTGTACTAACAGTTCACAAAAGTGTTAATTTCTTCTCTTGTAGAGTTCTGAACATGATGCGCACAGCCGTAGGGCGCCATTTCGGGCTCATGGTGGGTGAATCTCGGACCAGTGGGGCAGAGACTGTGAAAAAACTAATGACAGAATCAGTCACTCAAAAGTTGCCGAGGATAAACTTCCCTTCGGAGCTCTTAGTCAAACACAGGAACTCATTTCAGATGGGTAGTCGACGCTCAGGGGAGGAGCTGTGCGATGCTTTGCTTCAGGCCGTGGCTTTTTATGAGCTGCTCAATGAATCGTCTGGATAATTGTTACACGTATGCAGCGGACACTACCTCCACCACACAAGAAACCAAGTTGGATTTTCAAGATGTCCAATTCTGCTGCTGTAAACCTTTTGATACACTTATAGGTTCTTGATATTAAACTGGTGGCTAATTGTGTTCATTGTTTTCATCATGGCTGGTTTTAATAAAGCATGTTGGAATAATAGGAAATTAAGATATAGAAAACTTTATTCTTGCACTTATAAATAAAAGACTAATACTTATTTCCTACTTGATAAATGCATGGTTAAAATATCATGTAGCTTGATGAGGTAGTACAGTGTCCATTTTTCCTTTATGTCTTAAAAAACATCACCTGCCAGGAGTTTAACCGTATTCTTTGACAATCCTAGTTGAGTTCTGAAGGCCTTAACACGCCTATAGAGCAAAAGGGGAATAAGTTAACCAATAAAACTTTAATATTTAAGTTCTTGTGTTTGTAGGTGGCTTACCTGTCCAACTCTTCTGTGTGCTTTTTTCGTTTCCTGTGAGTGCGACAGATGAAGCGTACGACGGGGAGGTAGTCAACACAAACGGCGTATTTATTCTGGAGCAAACTGAAGTACCGACTGCTGAGAACTTTTTTGCTTAAATCAAACCTTTGAGAAGCACTAGTAAAACAAATAAGACACAATTTACCATTTTAAGTTGAATTTAAAGGTGCACTGTGTAACTTTTCTGGTAGAGGATCCACCACCTGCTTGTCTCCATGGGGATGTGATTGTTGCCTGGAATGTTCCACAGTACAGTATTAAGCTTGTCTGTTTTGCATTTATTCCATTATGTATGTTTTTATTACTTAAAAATACCATGAACAAATAGATACTCTGAAATATACTGAGACACCTATCCATAGATCTGACCAGTATCCAGGCCTAGTTTCATTTCTGCTCATTTTCATGGAGATGGATGAGTTTAATGCTTCACTGTGGAACATTCCCAAGCAATAACGTGGCGACAATCAGTTACTGAACCCTCCACAGTGCACATTTAACATACACTAGACTTACATGTGTGGATCCAGATGCTGAGTGATATTGTTTAGGTTTTTAGATGCATCTCCTCGTCTTGATCTCTGGATTTCGTAAATGTCTGCCTGCCTCCAGCAGCAGTGAAATCCCAAAGCCTCCAAAGCGGCTCTGATATCCAGCAGCGTCTCTTGATTTTTGTCTTCTTCCTCTCTCATCTCATCCAGTAGCCCATCCTGTAACTTTGCCCCAGTCCAAACAAATCCATTCGGGTTACGTGGACCTGACACTAGTATTTGGGCCATTGGAGCTGTTGCGTCGATAAAAGACATGGTGTCAAAGAAATCAGACAAAGCAGAAAGGCTGTTGGCTGTTTCCAATTTATCAGTGGAACTTTGTGGTTTTTGAGAAATCCTGGTTGGTGAGCAGCTTCTTTGTGTAGACAGAATATTCTTCTTTCTGCAAAGTCTAGATTTTGTTTTAGCAGCAGATCTATTTGAACATCGACTAGAAGTTTCAGTTTGTTGAGTGTCACAAAGGGGCTTTTTACCATCTTGACCGAAACACATATTGTCCGCTTTATGTAGAAGGAGCTCTAAGTTGGAGTAAAGTATTGGGGAACCATTTCTCCAACTTTCTGTCATGGGTATCAGTAGTTCTTTCATCTGCTGCTCTGTCCATGAAGCAGGCTGTAAAATAAAAACACAGAATTTTCACAGACCGGGCAAAAATAAACAAATTGAGATGCGATGATGATGTTTACTTGTAAAAGCCGTAGCAGATTCTTTTCAGAGACAGACTGAAGACCTAACATGGTTTCACTGCAGCCTTTATAACCAATTTCTACCTCACTGACTTAAAAAAGACAACACAGGATTTTTGAGAATTACTTAAAAAAAACAACTGCAATTATACTTTCAGAGATACTTACTTCTGTGACTTCTATAACCTGTGCTCCAGAGCTGCAGCTGGAGGAGACAGCGCCTCACATCTCCCTGTGTCAGAGTGAAAAGAGTCCTCACATCATCTGGGTCGAGATGTACGTTCTCTGCCAAACAAACCAGCCGTAGATAGCTACACACATCACCCTGGAAATAAACCCACACTCATTATGTTCTGGCAACACAGCACTAACCCACTGTGTCCAATTTTAACTTGTCTTACCACTGATGGAGTTTGAAAAATAATTTCATTCAAGCAAGAGTTGAATCTCTCTCTGAACAAAGGATCTACAAAAAAATCACATTTATTTATGTGTGTTTCCCTGTGAAGCACACTGAAAAGCACTACTTTGTTAGGGTGACCAGAATTTCAAAATAAAAAATTGGGACACTCTGGGTTTGGGACAGTTGGTAATAATTAAAATGTCAAACAAGTGCGTAATTAAAGAGAATTGTTCTGCACTCGGCCCATTCATGTCTTATTCAAAACTAACATGAGTCACTATAGTCACAGTTTGTGTTTTGGTCATTTTTAAGCAGCTTTTCTGTATTTTTCATAAACAAATGTCAATGTATGCCTCTCTTTACTGTTGGTAGGGATCAAATTGGTCAGAAATAGGGACACCTGGGACATTTCTTGTATAAAACTGGGACAAATCAATGGTTTTGGATAAATCTGCTGGGACAGGGGACACGGGGCTGAAAAATGGGTCTGTCCCGGGTAAATGGGGACATCTGGTCATCCTATATTCTGTTAGTACCCTGTTAGTAGTAATACTCTCTCCCTCAATTTAGACTGGTGGTTTATTTTAACAATGTGACTTGGCTGAAACTATAACAGATGACAAGATTTGTGCGCGTCAAAAATCTCTCACACATAAAATTACAGTCACAGGCCAGTTAGCAGTAGCCAACAGTTTTTCAGTGTGTCACTCTCACCTTTTTGTTAAAAAAATCAAATATCTAAAGAGTAGAGGAGTGCAAAAATATCTAAATTTTGATATATTGTATTGTTTAATGTGGCACTACAGTATCAATATCATGGGCTGCTGTCTATCTTTTCTGGTATATTTTGCTAAATTATTTTGTTACAGCGCTGCAATTTTTGTTGCTTGTTTAGAGGAAGGAAACTCGTTTATGCAACACATTTGACATATTCACTGTTTTGATGATTAAAATGGGTGCGTTTCATATGAACTTTGCACAAGAAGTGGTTTAACAATGACTTTTTATATCACGGCCATTATTTAGCCATTATTTTTTATTGAACCATAGCAAATCGATTTGAAATATACTGTATCGAATCAAAAGTGCACTGTTTCGAGATATGTATCGTATCTTGGCCTGTGTATTGGGGTATGTATCGTATCGGGAACTTCTTAATAATACCCAGCCCTACTAAACAGGTCCATGGACGCTCGCATTCATCCGAAGATCCAAATTTGGTGTTAAATCCACTTATTATTTTTCTTGTCTGTATTTGCTAATGTGTGCATTGTGTCACCATGGTAACTGTTGAACATCCTGTCAATAGAGATCAATGTACAACACCCCCAGAATATCATATGTAACCTGGTGTAGTGGGCACATACCGCTGGTTGTCATGACCACAGGCCTTTTTGTGGTTGCCATAAAGGTCTTGATGGCTGCAAGGAATCCCACATCATCCTCAAAAATGACATCTACCTGAAATAAAAGGCAGTCATAATGATCATACAGCTTTTCTCTCATTTTAATTTCTCCGTATAGAATTGCCAAATGGTTTACCTCTTCAAACAGAATAAGAGAAGTAGCCACCTTCTTGTTGGTTGAATCATTGTTAACAGCAGAATCTGGTGGTTCTTTTTTGGTTGTTGATTTCTTACACATTGTTGTCTCATAATGGTATAAATGATCTGCTTTTGCTTTTGTTTTGAAATAACTAGTCAAGGTGATGGGTTTATCGCTTTCCTTGCCACTGGACTTAATCTGTACTGGCTTCTTTTTGGAAGTGGAGACGGTTGCCTTTTTGGGCATCTTTACTGCTGAAAATGAACATGAATAAATAACATTAGGTTTTCAATTCTGATATACTTTAGCTTAAAAAAAAATCCAGTCATATCCTACCAGGTAAAATGTCAGATTTGGGTGAGCTCCGGACTGCGTTGTAGCTGTTGAAGTAAGATGGCTTTAATGGGTCTTTACCAGAAATCTCCACTTGATGAGATTGAGTCGCCTCTTTTAACTGGGCCAACACTTCTCTTCCGCTGCGTTGCGAGGAGCAGTTCACCTCAAACACCTGGAATGGGTTAAGAGTGAGTCTATATTGTTTAGATAAATTAAATGTCATTTCATTTAGTTTTAAAAGTGTTTACAGACCTTAAACCCAAGTTCCATGGCACAAGCGTACACTGATGCGGTCTTGCCCACACCAGGAGGACCACAAATGAGAATGGTGTTGCATAACTCCTCTTGTGTGTCTTCTGACCCCACCTCATCCACAAAGTCCCCACAGTCCCACGAGTCTGCAAAGAATAATGTGCAAATCCAAAACGGTGCAAAAACAAATCTTAAGGTAAACAAAAATACTATTCCAGCTTCATACCATTACTTTGTTTTTCCTTAAATTTCTTCCTCTCCTCAACATCTGATTTTAGTTTCCACTTTTTCAACCAGCTAAAACACAAAATGACATCGCTGGTTACTCGCATTAATAAAAGTTTTATGGTGAACTTTATGGTGATATTTATAATTACCTGTGTAGTTTTTCTATTGCTTTCACGTTACCAATGATTTCACTGGAATGGCAAGGACAGTATTTATCTGTCCAAAGAACATCTTCACTAAATGGTTCTGTAAAAAAATAGAAGATGTATTTGATGATGCTGTATAAAACAAAGTTAAAGGAGCACTGTGTAACTTTTCTGGTGTAGGATCTGCCACTTGCTTGAGATTGACTGGAGTGTCCCAGTATGGCATTAAACGTATCCATGTTACATTGGCCCAGTAACATTTTATTGACCTAAAAACCTGCATTCTTACTATGAGTGGGCTCGCTTCTCCACAAATCTGACATGTACTTTGGCTCTGTGGTGTCACCTGCTGTCTCCGTAGAGATAAATAAGAGTAATGTCATACTATGGAACACTCCAGGCAACATCTTCATGGAGATGCATCATTAAGATTAGGTTAATTATTGAGTTATGTACCTCTTTGGAAAACCGCTGAGGTTTTGTCGGTCTGCTGGTCTGAATTGGGCTCTTTTGTTCTTTTATTTTCTTGTTCAATAATGTTCTCTAATCTGCCACTTCCATATTTGAGTCTCCGAGTTCGGCTTAATCTGTTAGTTTTGTGATGCTTTTCAGGAGTTAACATTGTAATATCCTGAAGAACGTGAGAAGGGGAAAATATTGTAGTTTTGTCTTCCTCTGCAGCACTGGATCTCTCATGTGCATCGCCACTGTCAACCTGGTTGGCCTGTACTTTGTCTGAAAAAAAGAAAAAAATAGAAAAAAAATAAGCATCATATTTCTAATATGAAGAGCAGATAAATCACTCACCGCTGGATGTAAAATATTGTCGACCTTGGCAGTGTTTCTTGTGCAATATATTGAAGAAGTTGTTGACTGGAAATGCTGGATTAGAAACTTGGACATCTCTCAAACACACGTCCAATCCTGATATGGGCAATTTGTCTGGCTCCTGGCAAGAAGTAGAGTCCACTTCTATAATATGAGGTTGACTATAAGCACTTACACTTTTAACTTTAGTCTTTTTTGTCCTCAAGAAAATAGGTGCAAGAACTCCATTGCGATTTGAAGCATCATTTGAGGAGTTTTGCTTGTTGTTTTGCCTTGAAGTTAAATTACTCTTGTCAAAAGCAGTTTCGGGTTCGGATCCCTCGGACCCTGAGGAAATCTCAATCACCTCATGTGTTTGTTGGTGGTCTTGGTTCGGACGTGCTGCGTGTTTCCAGACTTTGGTTCGTTTTAATGAGGAGCGCATCACTGACGAAAACTCTGAATCTGTCTCCAGTGGAAACTAAAACACTCTGACTGACTGTGAGCTGGTGGCAAAGTTTACACTTCAGGCTGCTTTAAATGGTTTAGACGATATGAAATAAATGAATGGTTTGGTAAAGTCATTTTAATAAATCCATGAGAAAAAGTTTAGTTTCTCTCAAACTGTGATGACGTTTAAATTGTGCGCGTGAAACAAGCCAGAGATCGTGTATGTTAAACAGGAACACTCACTAAGTGGACTCTTTTTCTTCTGTCTTGTTTTTATTATAGCTCTATGTAGAGCTTGCCTATGTGTACAGTGGCAATCATAGATTTGTTTAATAAATAGAAAGAAATCAACATACAGTTTACATGGACAATAGCTTTTACTGCCATTGATTACACTGGCAAAAAAAATTGTCTTTTTTTCTTCGAGCATTTCAAATACAACAAAGTTATTTGTTATTTAAGAAATAATGCACCAAAGAAACAGTTGAAATGTACTTTATTTAAATATAAAATCCCCCCCTCAGCCAGAGTGTACAAATCAATCTTTATCCAGGGTGTTACAGTCATTTTTGAGGAAGTATTATTTTCTGAAGAAAAGGGAAATAAAATTGACAGGTGACAAATTTGATAGACTAAACTATACACAACTACAGCTTTTAAATGTGTTATAAATTGACTGATATAAAGAATGATGAGAAAAAACCCTTTGGCATAAAGAGCACCTAACGAGACAAAATTAACTCAAAATCTTAATGAACCAACAGCATATTGCTTTGGCAAGGAACCTGCCAACACTAAAAAGGGATGCATTCAGTGTGTATACTGCTACAGAACTGAAAACATAACACTGATTTTCCAGATTATAAAAACACCAACTTGTGATGCTGGCAAGTCAACGAGAGACAGTAATGATCTGCTGGTCGGTTTATTTCCCTGGCTTTCCTTGAGCTAAAATAATGAGTGCCAAAAGGCCTGGGGTGATGAAGAGTGGATTTTAGCCTGGACACAAATAAGAATTTGTTCTATCGTCCAGCGTCACAATATTACAATATAATTTTGTCACAACTCAAAGGCAAAACAGACAACCAGCCCTAACAGAATCTTAATATACTTTGTAACTGTAAGTCAATAGAAGGCTGTAATGTATACAGGCCTCATTTCAATTTCACATGTTTAACAGTGGAAAGTATGTGCTGCATCAGCACACAAATGATGTTAAGTTTTCTACATACAAATATCAAGTGCTAAAATAATCAAAGGATACATTTGAACAAGGATATAGTGTGGTTAAAATACAGGGTACCAGGGATACCAGAACAGTTTAACTGTAACTGGATTACAGTTGTTTATAACAAACACACCAAAGGCAGTTACACCACACCATGAAGTTAGCGATTTACTTAATTTGACAAGAAATCAATGGCCCCTTGTAGATGCAATACTCAGTCCTTGAGTAAATTCATTAAGCCCTAATATTTCTGGATATTGTGGGTAATTTAGTTCAAGTTGTTTTGTTGTTTTGTTGTTTTTTTTTCCTTTTGGTTCAGTTCAAACTTCAAAGTTTCAACAAATTGCTCATGTTGTGTTGAGAGCTTCTTTACACGATCTCCTATCTAAGCACCATAGGGTCATAACAACACTATTGTCCCCACACCAGGGTCAGTCTGTGAGGGAGCTCTTTGTCCTCTTGCCCTGTTTGCCACCACTGGAGGTGATGGCAGTGCCATTGCAGGCGCCTGCCGACAGTGATGGATCCTGCTCCTCTGTGTCTTTGAGCTCCTCTTGCATCTGTCTCAGGTGGGACATTGCCCGGTCGATGGTGGAGGTGTTGACCAGGTTAAAGTCATGCATGCTCACGAGGTGAAGAAGGAAGTTACGACACAGGTTACGCCGTACGATGTGAGCTCCACAGCTCTCCACAAAAAGCATTATGGCCTGGCTCATCTGGTTATCAGCGATGAAGCTACAAGACAGGAGAGGTACTTATGTGTTACTGTGTTACTTGAAAAACAAACGTACAGAAATGTTCAACATACCCATTCTTCATAACATGCAGGTTCCAAAGCTTCATCACCTCTTTCTCACCCTCATTTACATCAGTGAACTCATCCAGTTGCTGTACAAAAAAATACAGCAATAGAAAATTATTTTCTAACATACACACTTGTTTTAGTGCCAACCTTTTCTGAGTCTCACCGTAGCAGTTTTCTCTCTGAGCCACTCTGGGTCGCGCTCGTCTTCACTGTCCTCCTCCATCTCCTGAGGCCGCAGAGGCATGCAGCTGTCACTGTGGAAGTACAGACGGTTGTGTCCACTCACATAAGTCCTCTGTTGCTCCAACTCTCCATCTTCAGACTCCAGAAACTCTGACAGACTTGGTTTGGTCCTTTTAGGTCTAATGAAAAGTAAAGAACAAGTAATAAAGGTCATATATTTTTCTGGATATCGACAGTGCAAATGGCTTTTAGCACAGCTGAATGAGTCCGGTGACAGTATATGACCCTTAGAAATGAAGATGAAGAAATTAAGAATTTTTTTGGTTGTTCATTATTAAATAAATGTGCGAATGGAGCAACACCCATGTTAAACAGCCCTGGAGTAACACAAAAAGTTTATGTAGCAGAATATGTTATGTTTGAAGTCAGTTCAAACAAAAGCCTTCGATTACCTGCAGACTAGAATGTGGGTGACAGCTGTTCTCTTGACGGGCCCATTGCGACTAAAAGCAAAGCCCGGTTGGCTGTGGATGTCCTGAGGGTTGCCAACGTATGAACCATCATAACATTCATTGATAGACACATCTATCCTTGCTCCTTTGGGATGAGGCTGTGTACAGACGAAAAGCAAACTCAAAAAGTATAGCATAATGTAACAAACTGCAGGTGGAACCTTGGGGTGTTTTTTAGTCAACTTAAAAGAGCGGTGCGTGTGAACATGGACCAACCAGTGTGCACTGGGGCCACTTCATGTGTGAAAACACCCTTAACTTCATTTAGAAATAAAATTTAATAGTCTATATTAAACAACAGCATTTTAAGTGTTGCTGTTCTAAGTGTTAAGTTATAAAAGACAAACAAATAATTGTGTCTGGCACGCACTTAAGATCAAGAATGCTCACAGTAGTTATTACATCAACTTGTGATTCACTCTACACAAGAACAGTTCAATACTTGCTTTCATTAAAAATTATTGTTTATGGCAATAGTTCCTGTAACAGTGAATCATCCTTCAAAACGTGCAATTAACAGGCTCACTGATCATTCTTTGAATTTCTTAAAATACATTTTTAAAAAGTGATTAAAAACTGAGCCTAATCACAGTTAACTGCGTTTAATCTTTGGTGTATAAGTATTTTCTTCATTATCAAATTGTCAATTTAGACATTGCATACTTTAAAAACACTGCATTAGGGCTTAACAATATTTAACATGTCTTCAATGACACATAAAAGTGTGTTTCGTCCAGTGAGTTTGACATAGGCCTGTGAATGAATACAATAAAATATTTCATGCACTTAACTACACTTAAGGTGTTGAAATAAACATAACCATTTAACATTTAGTTGTATCTGTTCCTGGTGTCCAACTCAAGCAGGTGTCAATCATAAAGCCACAGCAACCCATTCACTGCCGTTTGGACCTTGTGTACTCCAACATCCACTGTCTAATAAACACGCGAGATCGTCTAGCGTAAAAAAACTCCCCTCATAGTTTCACTTCGCGGACATTATCGCAGAACACATGTAGCAGGAGCGCTCGGGGAGCACACAGAGAGGAGGAGAATCATATTAATGCGTCAATTTATTTTAACGTGAATAAAAGGAGAATTTAATGTAATGCGTTAATGCAATCGTTTTCCCTGATCTAAAAACAAATCACTGAATGTACATACCACATAGTTGAAGATGAAGCGTGAGTGGGAGAGTTTGAGGTGCTTGAGAAGGCTGTAGAGCTTTCTGCAGTTCAACGTACACCAAGGACAGTGAAGGTCATCTCTGGCCTCTGTCTGCTGCCTTGTGTTATTGTTGTATAAAAACTGAAAATAGAAAGAGTTACATTAGAACTCAACAAGCCATTTCTTTGTAGATTTTTTTAGCATTTCACGAGTTACCTGATAAAATATCCTTAATTTCTGTCGCGGTTCAGATTGGGAATTATCTTTTTTTGAGTGAACGTCTGCATTGACCGACTCCTTCACTGTTGGGTAGAACAATAATTACATGAAAATACAGGTAATTCTGACTACTACAAAATACAACTAGACACAAGTACTAACTCATAAGTGCTCTGTGGTTGCTGTTTCTAGTTTCCATGGGAGTGAAGGTCTCAGAGTTGCGAGTAGAGAGCGGTCTGGCCACAGAACCAGTAGATTTTCCATTAACATCCCCTGTCCAGCGCAGAGTAAACTGCAATGTGGGTCCCTGAGAAAAGGTCTCGAAAGGTGGAAGTCTCTGTAAAAAAAAAAAAAAACACTTGTCAAGGATTTGTGGTTTATTATACATTGGCATATAAATAAATACAACATAGGTCTCATATAGTGCTTTTCAACAGAAACTCAAGAGATGCTTTACTTCGACAAGAAAGAAAGAAAACGCTGTGCTACCTTTCCATCCAGGATTGTCTCCCATGTGGCACGCTTCTTGCCAACAGGGCTGTCTTCCATTCCTTGCATTGACACTTCATACTCGCCATCCAACAGCTGCAATCTTCTACGAAAAAAAATAAATGTACAAAAATGACAATATAAGACAAGCAAAAGTTGATTCATTACGTACTCACCTGTTCTTATCAAAAACAGTCATTTGTGCAATATACGTCTCTGTGGTCAAACCTTCTTCTCTATGTGATGAACTTCTCTTCTTTCTGCTCGGTGTATCAGTAACATCTGAGCAGGAAAACATATTGTTCACATAAACTGTATCCTCATTTACAGAAGCTTCAAGTTAGGGCAGAGTCAATTACTAGTTGCGTACCGACATTCTCATTGGCCTGACCATTGACCAGATTAGTGCCATTCTTCTTCCCTGTGCGTGACACTTTGAACAGGAGTGAATAGGACTTCACCATGTGGCTGTTGCTGGGCTCAAATTCATTGCTGGAGACGACTAAGGAAGGATAGGATCCGGACTTGTTTTGGTTACCGTCAGGGTTCAAAGGCACCTGCTTTTTACCTGTAGGCACTTGCTTCACTGGACAACTGACATCCTGAGACAACACAAAGTCAGTGTCATTCATATTTTCATCAAAATGTACTAGTGGTACGAACGTGCTTACCTTTCTTTTTTTATGGCAGACTTTGACAAGTAGCACCTCTAAAGAAACTGAACTCTGGTCATTTTCTGAATTCTGTGATGGCTTTTCTGTAACCACGCACATAGATAGAAAGAAAAAGAAAACATTTTAGTCAGTAAAATTAAATGGGAAAAGTAAAATGAATATAATGCCGTCCTTACCGTCCTTATGGAAGAATCCAGTAAATGTTAGCTGTAAATGTGAAGACATGCTGAAAGACAAAAATCCCAAGTAAATATAAGTGGCAATACTTTAGATTGTAGGTTTATAGCTGTATTACTTTGGCGAGTCAGGGTGTCCCTTCATTTTTTCCACTTTCTTCATCAAATCATCCACTTTGAAAGATTTTCTGTAAATACATTTTTAGAACAATTGTAATAAGCCAAATTACAAATAATAAATAAATAAATAAAACTCAGTACCTTTTTTTGTTTGTTCGGGTATTTCTATGAGACATGAATGTCAAAGTTCTGTGCAAGAAGATAGGCTAGGAAAGAAAAACATTTATTAATACAAAACACAAGTACTATGTGAGTAATAGAAAAGGTTAACTGACTTACAGCAATTATGTTCCTTGTGCGGAGAAATCTATATATTTGAGTAGGTTCTGAAAACAAATATATTATTTGATTAATCAACATTTTCACTCCAGATCTCTTGACACAACTGAACCTCAATTATTTAGACATGTCTTGTAGTTTTGATTGCAACAATTACAGCAGATATGCTGATCAGATAAGAATAAAGTTCTACATCGTCTCTCATTCTCATAACTTCTGTTATGTACAAGAAAGACATATCAGTGGATTGAAATGTCTTTCAAAGCAAATTAAAGCAATCTTCGTAGAAATCTCACTTTCGAAGGCCTGCAGGAAGAGCTCATGGTCGGCCTGAATCTGCTCCATCTTGGGCTTCTTCACAGAGTTCATCATCGCTGATGAGGCGGGGTACACGGCGCCGTTTGCTTTGCAGCTCGCCCCGCTCATAATACTTCCTGAGTTCTGCGGGGACAAAGAGGCGTTTATTGACATAT